ACAGCCGGCAATAAACCATAGGTGTTGATGCGACATAGGGAAAGGATATTAGTCGTTTATGTAGGAAGTTATTTGACAAAATGGAGCACACAAAGCTTATAAGCCTATGAACTCAAATGTCCGATGCAATTTAGTATCACAACAAATACACTTACAAAACTACATAGTATAAAAGAAAGTTCCCAGTGTCTGTACGCTGTATGTCTGAAAGAAGATTAGTAGATTATATCCATGTAATTTGAATATTAGAAAATATCTATTTTTCAATAGACTTCAAAAAAAAGGAGGAGATACTCAATTCGACTGTATTTGAAAGCTAGTGCTTGCCGTGTGGTCCCATTTTATTTTGGTCCAGACCTGGCAATGGCATCTATAACAAAACCATATAAGTCTTAAATCTGCATTAAGTATGCGTGATGTTTGTTACCGCAAAACTCAAAATATCAATAAAATATATGAAATAATTTTTTTTTAAAAATGCAACTAACTTCAAATTTAAAAAAGTGAAAAATAATACTTGTCTTAAAAGCAGTTAAATTTTTTTAGAAACAATGAAGTAGGGTTTTTTTGTTGTTAAAAAATTTCAATGTTTCTTAAAAATTTAACTGCTTGCTATAAGTGTTATTTTATACTTTTTTAAATTTGAAGTCGGTTCCATTTTCTGTTGTTATAAACATTTTCATATACAAAAATACTTCACTCACACTTAGTAACAAATTAACAATGCTTTAAAGCTCTAAGTTATAATTAAGAATTTCGAATTTAAAATAATATTATTATTTCCCGTGTTTAACATAATAATATAATGCAATATCAATTTTGTCATCACTCAATTCTTTAAACTACATTGCTTTGGGTGCTACAAGGGGTGCTTTGAGTTGAATCGTAAGTGCATTTGCGATGACTCAAACACGATGGGAATATTGACTCTTCCGCTCTCATGTGTTGACAGTCAGCAATAAATTGTACCATCTAGTGGGGTGTCTATATTTAAATCTGCTTTCGTATATTCTTAGACGTATAATGACATCGGCGCTACCATTCCAGTTAGCGTAACGTAATACCGCTAAACAAAAACATAGTAAAAATGATATGCTTAATATAATTTATTATTTTTATCAGTGATTATGGCTACGTTCAATTTTTTGTAACCATTATCAACTAGCTTTTATCCTTACAATTTGCACGCGTAAATTATAAGAGGGTGACGTATGATGCATCTTTCTGTAGGTGAAAAAATTTCATGATCGGATCAGTATATCCAAAAATAACCCCTACAAACAAAAAAGTTGAAACACTACCTCCTCTAGTAGAACTATCTACCCATATCTAAATAATATAATAACATTATTAATAACATTATTAATAATAACTAATTATACAAAAAGTATTTGGTGAGCTCAATCGAAAACTAAAAGTATTTATAAGAAGTCTATTTGAATAAAAATTATTTTGACTCCGACTTCGACCAGGCTATATCCTGGTCAAATTTACCTAGCAAGATTTGACCCACACTAATACAGCTAGTTATATAAGCTTGTAAACTATTATACATAATAATGATCTGTTTATTTGTTTGCATCGAGCACTGAAACTACTGGATCGATTTTTAAACTTACGCGGGTGAAGTCGCGAGAAAACAGCTAGTAAAATATAATTATTATGTAGCAATTTAACTATAGCTCTAAGCTGTAGGCTAGAGTAATAGCAAGAGTATAGAATGTATCAAATTGTACACGTTCTACTATGAAACAATGTAGGTAGGTGTTGATGGTGTTGTTTGAGCCAAATTTAAACGAGTTGTTTATGTTTCCAGTCGTAGAAAGTAATGATGACATAGCAGTCACCACATTTCGATTTAAATCGGTATCGTCCGACTATCCTGAATTGTCTTCAGGTTGTAGATTTTAGAAGATGTAACTGGGTATGGCAGTGACACAGGAATTTTAGTTTTCTTTTCTTTATTTCGTCCTATTTTTGCATTTTATCCGACTTCAAAATCAAAATGGAGGAGGTTGTATGTTATAGATAGTTTATGTGTATCTGTGGTTATGGGTTAAGTTCGGGTATGAATCGCGCGTAAAAAATACTTTAAATTTACTACTAACCAATTATTACGATTTCTACATAAATGTGACTTACATATTAAATAAAATGAGTATAATCTATATTTAGATAAATAAAATATAATCAAATTATAAATATCAAATGAAGTCAAAGTATAAAAAGTGGAACAATTAATAAATTAATTAAATATGGAGATAATTATCGACACCAACTTTTGTATTATGTAACCTTATATAGTATAAATAATAGGAAAAGCGGTATCACACAGAGAAAGGCCGCTCTCACTATCAGCACAGTAAAGTGTGATTCATGACTTCATTATCGGGACGCTTTCAAACTTTGAAATGCAATGAACCGATTAATTTATCACTTTGAATTAACTGCTTAATTAATTAAGATTTTATTTTTATTTGTCTCTTTTTTAGTACTTAACATTTAATGAAAAATGTTTAAAAAATCCACTAGCCTCGGGTACTCTGAGATGGGACACGATTCCACGATCTTTCGAAATCCGAGCGAATGCTCTAACCATGATTATGACTGACGAATTTTTCGTGCACTTAATACTTTTCGTTACTGGTGAGAGTACTTTCATCAATGTTCAGGCAATCCACCCAAACAGCCGATAGAAATATTTTACAAATACATATTTTTAACTGAACCGAACCCAGAATGTCATAGAATGCACCGTCTGTTCCGTCATGCTAGTTGCATTGACTACGGCCGGGACGTCGTTCGTATATAACAAAACGGGTTTATGATGGCAATTTAATTTTATTTTCGTACGATCACGATAATTATAGTGAAAGTTTATTGACGCAGGTACAACAAACACTGATTTGCGTCATTATAAAAGCAAAGAGACCGAGTCGTTGATAAAAATTAAGAGACAGATACTTTTGTCATTTTAGAATTTAGTATTATTCATTTCTCCGAAAACACATATAGAATGCACATCGTTCATTTGTTTATACTTTTCATTCGAAATTTGAAGAACTACTGACATAGTGTGACCTAAGTGACAGTAATTCAATCACACAAATATTGCAATAATGACGTCAACGTTCGAATATTTAAGAAACTTAATACTGTCTTATCTATCTATATCTTATATAATATAAAAATGAATCGCAAAATGTGTTGGTAAGCGCATAACTCAACAACGCCTGGACCAATTTGGCCAATTCTTTTTTTTAAATGTTCGTTGAAGTTCAAGGATGGTTTTTACGGCGAGAAAAATTTGAATATATGCCGAAAAAACCGTAAAAACAGCCATTTTCTTTTTCTCATACAAACGTTTTCTAACTAAATCGTTGAGTCAATTTGAGCTCTATTACTATTGTATAAAGTTCATATTAAATTACAAGCACTCACTGTTATCTAAGCAATGTAGGTGTGTTCCTAACGTCAAAGAGTCAATTTGCACTTTATTTCCGCTATACAAAGTTGAAATTCAATCATATCAGTGCGTTGGAGCACAGAATACATCGTTGGAGGATTTAATGCCGCGTTCCGAAACTCAATTAAAGTAAATCATTAGTACTGATTTTCAATTTGGTCGGCTTTGCGATATTATTTCTTTTGTTTTACTTTCAGCACGCGACATAAAATGCATCAGTTTTCACGTCATGACATCAGTCAAACACAAACCGCGTTACCAAGTGTTTTATTATTTATTATTTTACACACATAAAAAATTGGTACGGCCTGAAGGATTTCACTCCAAGTCATATCAAATTTAAAAAAAGTTGAAAATTGAAACAACAACAAACTGTCGATGTTTAGTTAGTTTAAAAAAAAACTAAAAAAAAAATGTCGATGTCAATTTGCCGGTGTGGAAGTATTATTTTCTTGGATTTTCTGTTACTTATTCTACTGAGTTTGCTTTTGTCAACTGATACTGTCTAATACACGAAACAAATTCGTATATCGTGTTTTGTGCAGAGTGTTTAGTTACCTATGATCACTATTTATTATAATAATAATATTGCATGTGACACAATAATTTATATTTGATATGCCTCCTATTTTTTGCCCCGACTATAAAATAAGTAGGAACAAAAAACTGCCACATTACAAATCTTTTTGACAGGACGAAGTCTGTCGGGTCCGCTAGTTTATGAATAGATTTACTAATTAATACATAATTAAAATCTGCATGATTAAGCTGATACGGTTCGACGCTAAGCCTCTACGATAGAACAGATGGATGAACCGTAGAAATTATTATCATATGTATTTATGAATGAATAATATTTTTTTATTATTTCTTTTGCATATCGTTTTTTGAATTCCATTACTAAAGACGGATGTAATGAAACCTCTGCCATTTAAGTAGTTATTTGAGTTAACTTTTGAACTCAGCCTTTATGTCGGTAAATAAAGATTGGTGAAAAAACTTATTTGCCTAATCGCGTATTACGCCCGGTTCTAATAATTGGTTATTGGAGTAATATAGTAGGCATATAATATCTTTAATTGAAATCAAGTTAAATGTAGTAATCCGTCAAAATCAGCGTTCGAAAGTACTTCGTTATTTTATTTCTTTTTTAGTAGTAATGACAATGGCGATAACATACACAAGAGCAAGACATTTACACGTCCTCGCAGACATCGATACACGTTTTCGAATGTCCCTTCGACTTGGCAACTACAACAATTTGTAAACGTGTTATTTGATTCATTTTATTTACTAACTAGTGGACGCCCGCGACTTCGTCCGCGTGGAAGTCGGTATCCCGTGGGAGTGAGAAGTTTTCCCAGTAAAAAGTACCCTATGTGTTATTCTGATGTATAACCTATATTGCTGTAAAGTTTTATCCAAATCCGTCCAGTAGTTTTTTCGTGAAAGAGTAACAAACATCCATACATCCATACTTACAAACTTTCGCCTTTATAATATTAATAGGATTTAATACATTGTGTTGTTTCAGAGGGTGGGAGATTAGAGGCTGAATTGAAGTACACCGCAAAAGCGTTGGGTGAAGCTGACTTCTCGACGCATCAGCTTATTATTCAGACTGCTAAAGATCCTGACGCTTCTCTACTTCATGTCGGGGCGCTGCTTGATCACCTAAAGGTAAAAAACCAGTGTAACACAATTACCAAACGTTTTATACATTCCTAGATTTCAACGACGTTTTATTAAAAAAAAAAAACCGTATTTCTAATTCTTTGTATAATATAACAAATCTACGGTCGGTTTTTGAATTGAGAAATCTCAACTGATTATATTTGTGGTTATTGAAAAATTATAAAAAAATCCAATAATTGACACTCTGAGATGGGATACCGTCTTAGAATGCCATAGTGCCATTTTCCAGTATAGCATTGTGAATGTGAAATTGTATATTTCTTATACTTACTTTTCACAAGACAAAAGGTCCCAGTTTTATCAAACTGTTATCAACTGATGCTGATAAAACCTGTTTAAGTGTATTTTGATACGTGCTTAATTTTCAATACATACTCAATTCCGAAACCGGGTGCTAGTGTATATGTATTTATCTAAGATTCCTTGATCCTTATTCTCTTCGCAATCTAAATAAGTACAACTTACATCCTTACGTATCATGTTATGGAAAAAATTAAATATTATTTATATTATTACAGGTTGTTCACGCAGCGACCCGAGTCACGGTTCATATGTATGATCTGGAGTGGCGATTGAAAGACCTCTGCTATAGTCCTAGTACACCGGACTTCGAAGCTGAACACATTGAAAATATATTTGATAGTATAGTCCCTTGCGCTATCACCACACCGTTAGACTGCTTTTGGGAAGGATCCAAGCTGCTTGGACCGGATAATCCGATTTACGTACCGTAAGTATCAATTGAAGATCTCATTAAGGTTTTCTACTGGCTTGATAATATCAACAGTGATGACATACAACGATTTATTTACAGTTTATTAAAAGATAAGCTACAATGGACTCAGTTGAATCCACAAGATATATTAGAAGAAGTGAAGCCCTTGAAGATACAGTTCCCATGGAGAACGATGGAAGCATACATGAAACGAGCTGGCATCACAACTGCTTACATGAAGAAGCCGTGCCTGGATCCCACCGACCCTCAATGCCCAGCCACGGCACCCAACCAAAAATCCGGGCATGTAAGTATTGTCCTTCAAGTCGCCTATTATGTTCGAATACTAGTTTAGTTATTCATTCGTCATAGTTACGTTAGACTCGCATTAAAAGCGATTACTGTCAACTCCCAAACCTTTTATGAAAACTTCGATTTACGACATTTTTAATGGTCCATAAATAATATCATATGTATGATAAGGACAAATGAAATAGCTTTATCGATGCAAAACCATAAAGTTTAAATACATCCCATAAAATATTTTTGGAAACGATAATAAGGCAGGATGAGATCGGACGCCGCGGGCAGATGGCTCTACCTGCCACCGTCCGAGAAAGTTACAACAAAGTATCTGTGCATGCGCATCTTCCAGCGGTACGGTTATACGGTTTCGCGAGTAAATATTTATTCATTAGTTCGAAAATCATGTTTCCCAGAAGTAGTTACTGCTAAGACAGAACAACCAGTCACGAGTGCGCACCGCAACGGTACGGTATTATTTTGTTTTCAAATTATCTTGAACAAAAAGCTCCGAGGAAGAGCTCCGCCGGGGTCGTTTTTGTGCGAGTCGCCGCCACCCACGTCTGCGAGCCGTGGCTCGGGCGCACATTGTCCCTGCGTCTGCGCACTGCGGCCGGACCGCTCTATTATACGGGCGTATTGTACATGCTTCAATGGGCCTCGTTTGCCGCTGCTATCGCCCATCACAATGACACTATTATATCAATAATACTCAGTACTCGAGCGAGTGAAGTTTCACGGAAACCTCGTAAATTTTGCGTTCGGTTCGCTTTGTCCTGTTAAATAATATTGTCAGGAGCAGGTGATGTAATGATGAACAATGCAATTTTAGGAATGCTTTTGTGTAGTGGGTTACCTTCGATATGCACTTGATTTTACTTTAGACAGCTGAATATTTAATAGTATGACTATTTAGGTTACGTATCTAAATACTACCTTCAACAAGTCGTATAGCATTAGAAATATGATATTTAGTATTGGATTAAGGTACATTATCATTTTTGTTTCTTTTAGGTACCGGATGTAGCTGCCGAATTGTCCCACGGGTGTTACGGATTTGCTGCAGCTTATATGCACTGGCCAGAACAGCTGATAGTGGGCGGAGCGACCAGGAACTCGACGTCAGTGCTACGCAGTGCGAAGGCTCTGCAGACGGTAGTTCAGTTGATGGGCGAACGCGAGATGTACGAGTACTGGTCCGATCATTACAAGGTGCACCATGTCGGCTGGAATCAAGAGAAAGCAGCAGCTGTTTTGGACGCCTGGCAGAGGAAGTTTGCATCTGTAAGTGTCGTATTAGCATTGCATAACTCATTATTATGTACCTTGTACCAATGAAATGTAATGACAATCTCTTTTCAGGAGGTACGGAAAATGACTACATCGGAGGCAGTGTCACCTTCATATAGTTTCTACCCTTTCTCAACTTCAACCCTCAATGATATACTTGGAAAATTTTCTGAACTTTCCCTCAAAAATATTATTTTAGGCTACATGTTTATGGTAAGGAGTGTGAATCATTTTTTTTTTGTATTATTTTATTTCTTACATTTAGGTTGTAGATTTATATTTCATTTATTTACAGTTAATTTATGTTGCCGTTACTTTGATGCAATGGAAAGACCCAGTTCGTTCACAAGCCGGAGTCGGTATCGCCGGCGTACTACTTTTGTCTATCACAGTAGCAGCTGGATTGGGTTTTTGTGCTTTGTTAGGTGACTTTTCAATTTTCTTTTATTTGTTTTCAATTATTTTCTAAAATACATTTTCATAGAAATTGTGGTCTTATATTAAACATTTTATTTTTAAAATTTTAGGTATTCCATTTAACGCATCAAGCACGCAAATCGTGCCGTTCCTAGCACTGGGGTTGGGCGTCCAAGATATGTTCCTTCTTACTCATACATATGTGGAGCAGTCAGGAGATGTCCCAAGAGAAGAGCGCACAGGCCTAGTCTTAAAGAAAAGCGGTCTAAGCGTTTTATTGGCGTCATTGTGTAACGTTATGGTATTTCTTGCTGCCGCGCTCATGCCCATTCCAGCTTTGAGGGTATTTTGTCTCCAGGTAAGTTATATTGATAATAATTAATAGTATACCGCATATACTGAGTTGACAAATGTTCTATTCGATTAAATATAATTAAATTTGAAAATATTTTCTTTTAGGCTGCTATCCTTCTTCTCTTCAATCTGGGGTCAATGTTACTGGTTTTTCCGGCAATGATCTCTTTGGACCTTCGGCGAAGATCAGCGGCGCGAGCAGATTTATTGTGTTGCCTTCTTCCTGACAGTCCTCACACAGTTAAATCTAAGAAATTTTCTGAAAGATCTAGACACCGCAACGATAAAAGCAATAAGGTTTCTAAATACGCTAATATTTTTAAGAGTATTTATATACATAATTGTATCAGTACTAAAAGCATTATTATATTACAGAGTCATTGGAAAGATACCACACGACAACCTTTAGATCCAGATGATGGCGGCAATATTGAAAAAACTTGTTGTCTCAGTATTTCATTAACAAAATGGGCCAAAAATCATTATTCTCCGTTCATTATGCGCCCTTCTGTAAAGGTACGCTTATACTATAACATATACATATAATATACACCTAGAAATAAAGAAACCTATTCAACGTAAACGATTATTTTTATTTTAGGTTACGTCCATGCTAGCATTGATAGCGCTCATATTGGCAAGCGTCTGGGGTGCTACGAAAGTAAAGGATGGTTTAGATCTCACGGATATTGTGCCTGAAAATACCGACGAACACGAATTCCTGTCAAGGCAAGAGAAATATTTTGGTTTCTACAGTATGTATGCAGTAACACAAGGAGATTTTGAATATCCAACAAACCAAAAATTACTCTACGAATATCACGAACAATTTGTTAGAATACCAAACATAATAAAGAACGATAACGGTGGCTTGACAAAATTCTGGCTGAGCTTATTCCGTGATTGGTTACTGGACTTGCAAGCAGCTTACGACAAAGAAGTTGAAAGTGGATGTATAACAAAAGAATATTGGTGCAAAAATGCAAGCGACGAGGGTATATTAGGCTACAAACTTATGGTGCAGACAGGACATGTAGACAATCCCATCGACAAGTCACTAGTAACTATAGATACCAAAAATGGTCATAGATTGGTTGATAAAGATGGTATTATAAATCCGAGAGCGTTTTACAATTACTTATCAGCTTGGGCAACAAATGATGCCTTAGCGTATGGTGCATCTCAAGGAAATTTAAAGCCCCAGCCTAAAACTTGGATACATTCACCATCAGACACCGATTTGAAGATACCGAAATCATCGCCACTGATTTATGCACAGATCCCGTTCTACTTATCAGGTCTTAGTGATACGGAAAGCATTAAACAACTGATAATGTCAGTTAGAGAGCTGTGCCTGAAATTCGAAGCGAAGGGATTGTCTAATTTCCCGTCTGGAATTCCTTTCCTGTTTTGGGAGCAGTATTTGTACCTTAGGACATCACTGCTCCTAGCCTTGGCTTGCGCTTTGGCTGCTGTGTTTGTGGTAAGGAAACTATTTTCCCTTTGTTATTATGACTGATATTATTACTTAAATTCAATTTATTGATAGCATTTTTCTTTTTGCAGACAGTAATGGTTTTGTTGTTAAATGCATGGGCTGCCGTGTTAGTGACACTAGCGTTGGGCACTCTTGTACTGCAGTTATTGGGTACAATGGCTCTGTTGGACGTAAAATTGTCTGCAGTGCCAGCAGTACTCTTGGTTTTGGCAATCGGACGAGGAGTACATTTCACCGTTCATTTATGCTTGGTGAGTATTCGAAAATTTACAAATTTGAGTTAATAATGGCGGCGTAATCATAAGGCACGATTTTTCTGCATAGTGATGATGTTATGGATGTCTATTTTATGATCTTAGTCACTCTAGCAACTCCAAGTCGTCCCCCAATGCTATTACGTTGATGATGCCTTCTTAGCAGTTATTCGGTGAACTGAGATATCTTACTAATATTATACTTTTTTTTTATTCCATAGGCGTTTGTAACGTCAATAGGCAGTAAGCCACGGCGTGCTTCAATAGCTCTAGAGTCGGTCCTAGCGCCGGTGGTACATGGGGCGCTGGCTGCCGCGCTGGCAGCCTCCATGCTCGCAACCAGCGAATTTGGGTTCGTCGCCAGACTATTCCTGAGACTACTCCTCGCGTTGGTCTTACTTGGTCTACTGGATGGGCTTCTGTTCTTCCCGATTATATTGGCTTTACTTGGTCCGGCTGCTGAGGTTTGTATTCTATTCAAACCGTATCTTTTACATTAGTAATTTATGTAACAACAGATCTCACTCAGTAAAATAATAGATCTACATAGTTCAAAATCAGCAATTGTTAAATATTAATAGTTTTTTTTTTGTTTGAAGTATTTATTGATTTTCCCCTTCTTCTTTTTTACATTCACTGTAATAGAAATATGTATATCTTAAATTAAAAAAATTCATAATACCTATATAGGTATTAATAATCATGATTTGCAATTTTGTATTATAATAATAATAATAATTCTTTATTTTCACAAAGAGACAAGGATACATAAATATATTATTATAAATTAGTTTCTTGGGCGGTCATGAGGCATTTGACTTTGTTTGTTTGGATTAAATCTTTTCGGGATATACGTATTTTGTGTGTATATTTGGATAATTTATAAGACAAACTAATATTTCAGGTCCGGCCGTTAGAACATCCTGAGCGGCTATCGACCCCATCGCCTAAATGTTCGCCTCTACCTCCTCGGAAGTCAAGTTCATCTAAAGACAGCGGCGACAAATCGAGCCGGAACAAATCAGCACCTCGTCCTTGCGCGCCTTCTCTCACGACTATCACAGAAGAACCGCCGAGTTGGCACAGCTCAGCCTCCTCTGTGCAGTCGTCCATGCAGTCCATTATGGTGCAACCAGAGGTGGTGGTGGAAACTACTACGTACAACGGCAGTGATTCCACCTCTGGACGATCTACGCCGACTTCGAAGCCGCATCCAGGAGCTATCACTACGAAGGTAATATTTCGAAACAAAAATCACGGTTAGAAAACTCTGATGCGGTTCAGTAAGTTCCAATTAATGTGGCGCATGAGGAATCTTCTTATGCATAGAGCAGACTTATGACATATGATTAAAATTTATAGTGAGTCTTGTTTGAATAATCTTAAGGTGTAAAATATAAAACATTGGGTGAACGCTTGACTCATACTCAGCTAAGGTCAAACGCGTGAATATAGGTGGATCGTTCGACGGTGTGATACTTAAATCATTATAATTAGTTGACATTTTCCACTCTTCGAAATTAGGCCTTTAAGCCACGTCAGTTGTATTTTAGAGTAGCGCCCAATTACCATTTTTATATATTTAATTATTTATTTCAATAAGAAGGCTTAACACATAGGACTCGTAAAGTAATAAAAGGGGAACTATTATTTAAAAGTACATGTTTTTTTAGGTAACCGCAACGGCGAACATAAAAGTGGAAGTAGTGACACCTGGCGACAGAAAATCGCGACGGTCATATCATTACTATGATCGACGGCGCGATCGGGACGACGACCGAGAACGGGATCGCGATCGGGAACGGGAAAGGGACCGGGACCGAGACAGAGACAGAGAGCGAGATCGCGAACGAGACCGGGACCGAGACCGGGACAGAGATAGAGTAGACAGAGACCGTGAAAGAGACAGGGAGAGATCGAGAGATCGTCGGGAGCGATATAGGGACGAGAGAGACCACCGTGCCTCACCCAGGGAAAACGGACGTGACTCTGGCCACGAAAGTGATTCATCCAGACATTAAGACTGTGTTCAAACTACTGTGTCGGTTGTTAGTCGTCGTGTTCACAAGTTAAATGACTCGAGTGAAGATAGAGTGAATGAAACTAAGCATGAATACACTGACGACTCAACCTAGAGTTGTCGAGTGTTGTGTCAAGCGTAAGACGTGTTTTAAGGATTGCAATACAGCTGACTAAATAAAGCCTTAGAACAGTATTACGAACTTAATATTAAGAAACATATTTTTTATTTAATACAATTATTAGTGGAGGCTACAATAATTCGGTACATGGAATTGCAAGTATTCAATTCAAGTTATATTTTATTATATGCAATGTGTTACTGAAATCATTCCATTGAACACTGTTAATGTTGACAGGATTGCCATAAAAATACAGATCTTGTCTCAAATTTCCCGATGTTAATGTACCTATTTGTCGTAAGGAGATGGGTCCTTTGATGACCTTGAGCTCGAAACAGTCCTACATAATTTTATAAAAGATTCAAAACGTGAGCAAGATTGGAAACTATTGTCAATTCTAATTATAAAGACCAAATATGATTAAGACATCTATTATTATGTATTTTGTTTCGCGTGTTCCTATTATAAAGACATTTCCATTGTCCACCATGTTGCTGCTTTTTGTTACGATTTATCTTCTTTAAAGACTGTGGTCAAATACTTTTAATAATTTATCATATTATTTATTTTTATTGTCTATAATTTTATTACTTTTATCACCAGATGAGTCTCACTCTCTTCAGTGAGTTGTCTCAGATTTATTGTACAAATTAATTAAATAGGGTTAATGTTATCGTAAGCGACTATTTATGAGATTATTTAGTGTTCTAAATATACTCTTACTGTATTCTTGTGATCTTTAAATAAACATTTAAGACTGCATTTAACGATCAAAGCACAGTATTCTGTGGTTAAGTATCATAAATATAATGCGGCATTCACACAACATTTTTCACTGGAAAACGCTGACCTCATTAGAGAAGCAAATTTAAATGTAATAGAGATGTGACGTTTTGTGCAAAGTACTTATTAGTTTGTATTATTTATACGTACATATGTAAGTTAATAATAATCTGTAAATATAGATTTAGATGTAATATTAATCGATGCGAAGTGCCTGCGTACGTGCAAAGCAGTCGAATACATTTGTATCTTTATTTTTATACATTTTTAAATGACATAATGTCGATAAACTATTGTAACAGAAACCAAGTGTTTATAAGTTTAGAAAAAAATATATCAATTAGAGCTTATTTTCAAATTTCATAGTTTCAAACACGGACTTTTCATAGATAAAAAATGCTTTATATTTTTTTCCGAAAATCTTAAAGAATAAATCTAAATGACTATTTTCTGGGTTTCTATAGGTAAATAATTAATATGTCGTAACGACATACGTGTGTTCTTTTGTATCAGAACAGAAGGAATAAACTGAAACAATATAAGTTGTCAATTGTGTTGAGAAAATAAAACAATATGTACCTACTTACTATTTATTTTTTATTTGTAAAATTTGTACCTTTCCGTAATTATTAAAAAGAACCAATAGATTCCAGTCTGTTTGTAAAAATTATGCTTTACAATAATTATATTAATAAAAATTATTAACTAAATTAGGTTCCTATTGTACACGGCTGCAGGTTAGGTTACCACTATATATCAAATGTCTGTAGTTGATTATAAACTCCACCCTAAGCGTATCAAGGCTTAAAATCCAGTGGACAAATTTGACAGATTTGTATAAACTGATGAGAAGTGTTGACTGTAGATTTAAAACTTATATTGTTATTAGATTTTGAACAAAATGATGAACTATCAGAGTAAAAAAAATACATCGAAGCACCTACTCCAGTCAGATGGTTTGAAGTACCGGTCTACCTTTTATAGCTTAGATAGAAAAGCCTTTATAACTTATTCTTACTCTAAACAGATCTACGTTCTTTATATTAAAGCATAGAATAGGTAAAATTTTAACGATAAGGGTACATTGCTCTAATAATCTCCACCTACTCAGGTACTACGAATTCTCAACGGTCAAAGTCAAGATTGTAAACATCAAAAGGCCTACTTTCAAATTATTTACTACGAAAAAATTAAATGAAAACATTAAATTTTATGGAAAGCTTTGCCCCCATTCCTCGTCTAAATTTACAGAGAGCTTAGTTACCTCACGAGTTAGGTATTATAATCAAAGCAATCCGTCCGACGCGCGGTGATCGGCTTAGTCTAATTTATAAAGCGGCGCGCCGGCTGATGGAATTTTGGCGGTAGCAACGTTTGTGACATTCCTTAGAAAGTGGGAGCGCGGGAATCAATAAAGGATTTCCTGGCGGCGTGCCGACGCATGTGCGTGCCGTGCAGCGACCCTGACACTGCAAGCGCGACCACCATCGTTCCTACTACACCGCTGATGTTGTCTCTTACATAGTTAACAGTTCTATACTTTATAGGGCTTACGCCGGAACGTTCGGCGGCCACCATTCTTGCATGAGGAAATAAATCCCGTCAATAAGCAGGAGCTCTCTGCCTTATTGGGCGTATGATTAGCGCGCAGCGTCAGTGCGGCGGGCGGGCGGGGCGGAGAGTGCGCGCGGGGTAGAGTGCGCCGGTATTCGGTCCACCCTCGCTCTGCTGGCCGCGCGGCTTTACCGACGACAGTCCCCAATTACATTCCCGATGTGCGGCTCACGAGCACGCTGACACTGAGTGTTGTGTAGTGGTCGATGCCCGGCTCACTGTGTGGTGGTGTGATGTGGGAAGTGAGATGGCGCTGAGACGCAGTATGTCGCTAGGGCTACTGCTAGCGCTGCTGGCGGTCGCCGCGTTCGCCAACCAGCTCGAGGATATACCGCATAATGAGTAAGTTTTCAGTATCAATTTTACTATATGTTGCTCACTACAGTGACTTAAGGAGGGAAACATGCATTTCTGTTAGAATTAACTTACTCGAAGTAAGAGTTGTGAAATCCTAGAAAATTAGAAGATGATATTATACATTCTACAACTTACCTACCTACATATAATGTAAAAGATGTAAAAAAACTATAATTTCCAGGTTCTTCTATCTAACCTACAATTTGTTATGGGTGAGAATATTAAAATGTTAGTAAATAATATATATCTGCTATACATATACCATTTTTTTTATTAAATACGTATCATGGCTGCGATTGTTTTAATGACAAATAACGGCCCGCGGGCGCTAGAATACTGTTATTAGAACGTAGATGGACACACCATATTTAACCTGTTATTAGACTAGACAAAATTGGTCCAACTGAAACATTTTATACATGATTTAAGTAATAAAACACTAGGTTTACACATAGTAATTACGATATTACCAGCACACCATGAATATAATGGAAGAGTCGTTATATTTTTTGATAGAGATCATATTAGCAAAGCAAAGTATCAATGATCTAGAATGAATGATGTAACCTAACAATATCTCTTTCTGAGTAATTAGAGATGACTTAAAATATCTAATACTAATACATAACTATATCCATAGCATAAACAGATAAAATAAAATATAAGATACATAATTCTCTTTTTAGTAATAATTCTGTATTAAAATTTTGCAGAACATTTTCTTATTTCAATTTGATTTTAATAACTTATCTGGCTCTTAACTTTCAATCAGCAATTTACAAGTTTGTTATTTACATACACACGATTAGAACTTATGTGATCGATTATATTTCCTATAGATGGAACCGATTTGAATCGTATAGAGAGAATAAGATATGACCCACCGCGGGCCGAATGTGGGTTGGTGAGTATTAACATAGTAAAATCAGCTATTAACATACATACTCAGAAGAGTTTCATGATTCTTCACTTACGTTGCTTATATTGTAAACCAATCCATTGTAATGTCTAACCCTGCAAACACCAAAATCTCTTTGGATTCTCTCTTATTCTTCTCTAATGTTTTAGTCTCTCTTTCCCACGTTAGGCTACCAAAAAATGACAAATTTCCTCTATTGATTTTGAACTTGACCCACAATGTATTAAGGTTTAAAATTAAGTGGAGAAATTTGACAGTTTTGTATAGTCTGACATTGCATGATTTACAAACTCTTTTTTGTTTGTGTTGTATTTAAAATTCTAAAGAGGTTGAATTTTATTTTTTATGTACCTTTACGTTATGATTATTGTGATAATTTTATATTTCTAACTCCGAAAATGACGGACTTCCATAAAACTTCCACCCCTTATTTTACCCGTTGGGGTTAAAATTTTCCCAAACGCTGAAACAAGTAAACAGTTTCATGTGTACTCCACAAAATTACTCTACTAACCAATGATTATATCCAACTCCATTAGTACTCTGAAATGGGTCAGTGAATATCTTTTATACAAAAAATAAGCTCTATTATAATTATAGGTATAAAAGTTAATTAACAACAAATAAATTTACATGTAACAAAATGTGGGATGAAACTTTTTTCTGTTTATGATTAAGCTTGTGATATGTCTACATAAACTCGGATATTTAAAAAAAAATAGGATAATAAAAAACTTTAGGGCATTCAGGAGAATATTTGATAATAACAATATGTAATAAACAAAAAGATATGTATTTCAAAGACAATGAAAACCATTCTTTAATTACGCTCACTAGTAGTGTAGTGAAAAGTACCTAATAAATGCCTGAAATATTCGTCGTCCGGATTGCAAAAGGTTGTGAGTTCGAGTCACATTTCTCATTAAAGATTCTTAAATAGTTTTAGTACCAATTATTCGTGGCCAGCATTACTATTCTACAATATTATAAAAATAGCATCGAAGTCGACGTCGTACGTAGCGCTGTATAAGCATGAGAATAAATCAAATAAAACCTACTTCATAAGGTTTTATTTCTGCTGTAACAACGCTGCACTCGACGTCGAGTTCGTAGCTGTTTATTAACAGAATAACATAACAACTAAACCTAAATGTAATACGTACATGAGTTATTTCAACCCCTCATAAAAGATTTTTAAAAACATGATTCGATTCAAAATTTTTGTATAATATAATTACTTATTATAACTAATTTTCTAATTACTTATTTTCATAAACAAAAAAAATTTAAATTTATTGGTTATTTTAAATCATAAATGAATTAAACTGTACTGAATTTGTAAAATCCCTTTAGGTTAGTGCTCACTTACTATTAATAACAATCGCCTACGCCAATTTTTAATTCCTAGATTCAGTAATTTTCTTATCCATTGTTTGCCGATGTTTGATTCTATTATTATATTATATATAGATTTTCAACTAAAACATTGTATTTATTTTATTAAAATTTCCACTTAAAGTTGTTGTGAAAGCCACAATAAAAGAGACCGCACATTTCACTGTTATAATTTCATTAAATTGTATCCAGTAACTTGGTAATTAACCACACACACATTAAATCTGGGAATGCTGTGGAATTTGCAAATGATTTCAATTGGAGCGTGAGGGAGATCCAACAATGGAATTACACGTTAGTATTTTATCAATCATACTAAATATCACAAAGATTGTTTGTTTGTTTGAATCGAATAGGCTCAGAAACCACTATTTATTTTAAAAATTCTTTCACATACGGGAAGTTACATCGTATGCGAGTGACATAGGCTATAATTTAGGCGGGTGAAGTCGCGGGAACAGCTAGTGCGTTTATAATTTGGGATTGAGATACAATTATTTTAAGGAAGACGAAAAAGCTGTGGAATTAAATACCTAACTATATAAAATTGTATAGAGAATAAACAAACCAACAGACAAACAACAAAGGAGTAAAAATTACATAGCAAAGGTTAATCTAGTACGAGGTTCTACGGGTAATAATTACTCCTAGAAGGTAGTAGGTTTGCTTATTCTCTGTATATTATGAATTTCGACCTATACTAAAATTACAATTTTAGCATAAATTTACTTTGACGCTAATTCTTTGTTATTTTTAACACTAAAAGTATTTAAATGTTTCTTTAAAAGTTTCATATCATGAAATGATTTTCATGTCATAATCTTACTGCAAATTTTTTTTTTGTATATGGCTACATTTCATGTGATTATCTGCTATGATATTCAAAAACCGCTGTCACAGTATAGACATTTAGTAAAATAAAACCTTCGTTACCTTTTAAGCAGGTTTTATTTGATTGCACTGCTGGTATTTTATGCTTTGACTCCCCCTTCGAAAGTCACCGAGGCATCGTTTCTGCTAATGATTAATAATCATATCTAATTGGCATGATTATTATATAATCATGGTGCTGTACTGGGCAATAGTATCCCAACTTGCCTTTCTTAGAAGCCTCTGCCAAACTGACGAAATTTATCTATTTACATCTCTATATTATCAAATCATTAAACTTATATTTATATACCTTATACTATACTAATATTTAAAAAAGGAAATATTTAATTGTTTGTTTATTTGCATCGAATAAACTCCGAAACTTCTGGACCGATATTAAAAACTCTTTCATTTACGCTACACGGAT